CCAAATTTTTTCCCAGTCTCTAGGTTCTCTTTTTATTCATTTGGTGAAATGTTTTAAGTACATAAGTTCCTATTGTCTAGTAGGTTCCAGTCATCTGTGTCCTCTGCTATTTGAGTTTTCATTTATGTCTGAGACTTTCAACTGCATGGATCTTGACAAACTATGATTAACTGCTGAGAATGGTTATTGTAGAACACTTCATTGTGTTCATGAGGAACCTGTACATAGAACAAGAGACTATTGCTAGGACAGACAAGGGGATACTGAATGGTTTAAAATCAGGAAAGATTTGCACCAGGATTGTGTCCTGTCACCATAATTATTAAATCTGTATGCTAAGCAGATTATCTGAGAAGCTGGATTATATGAAGAAAAAAATGGCATCAGGCTTGGAGGAAGACTCATTAATAACCTACCAGCTGCTCCTCAGAAACCTTATGCAGGTTCACTGTGAATTAGAACCAACTCGACGGCACTTAACAGCAACGAATATACAATTGATACAACCTTGTTTGCTGGAAGTGAAGAGGATTTAAGATACTTTCGGATGAAGATCAAAGACCACATCCTTCATTATTGGGTTGCATCTCAGTGTGAGGAAAACAGAAATCCTCGTAACTGGACTGATAAATGGCATCATGATAAATGGAGAAAAACTGAAGTTGTCAAAGACTTCATTTTGCTTGGATTCACAATCAACGCTTATGGAAGCAGCAATCAAGAAATCAAAAGATATATTATATTAGGCAGATCTGCACAAGACCTCTTTAAAGTGTTCAAGAGCAGAAAGAGAAAGATCAATTTGAGGATTAGGTGCACCTGACCCAAGCCATGATATTTTCAACTGCCTTCATTATGTGCATAAAATGAATAAGGAAGACTGTAGAAGAATCAATGCATTTGAGTTATGGTGTTAGAGAAGAACATTGAAAGTACCATAGTACCAAGGACTGCCAGTAAAACAAACACATCTGTGTTAAGAAAGTGAACCCTGATTACTCCTTAGAAGCAAGGATGGTGACAGTTCGTCTCTTGTAGTTTCAATGTGTCAGGAAAGACCAGTACTTAGAGAGGACAACTTGCTTGGAACAGTGGAGGGTCAACAAAAAAGAGGAAGACCACAGCAAGATGGATTGACATGTGACAGTAGCAGTGGGTTCAAAGAGAACTACAATTGTGAGGATGGTGCAAAAACAGTTATGCAGTGTAACTATAAATCAGAACTGACTAGATGGCACCTAATGACAACATTTCATCTTTTGAATGGGAATTGTAAGTGGCATTATTTCCCTGATTTCCTTTTCAAAGCCTTCTTCATTAGTGTAAAGGAATATGACTGATTTTTGTTTGTTGATCTTGTATCCTGCCACTTTGCTGAATCTTTCAGTGAGCTCCAATAATTATTTTGCCGTGTCTTTGGGATTTTCTGTTTGTGAGATCATATCTACAAATAGAGTTTGTCTGAAGAGGCAGAATTCATACATTTCTAGATGCACTGACTCTCAATGGGGTGGCTCCAACATCTGGTAGAGCAGGAGCTGTGTAGGTGGTGGATGATGGTGGAAGCTGGCCACCCCTCTGGTCTTCAGGAGCGTGGAGAACTCGTCACTAGTCACTGGTGTACCATCAGGATCCAGTGCTGCTCCCAGAAATTCATGATGGTGATGTTGAGTCAGGCCAGCAGAAAGTTCACCCATCTGCCTACTTTTTCATTGCTCCTGTTCAGCTTTTTCGCCTAGTCAATATGACTAGCCTTTCCTCTGAAGCTCTGGGTTCCAGGATTATCATCTGTATGTGTTTTATTGGGTTTCTCATATTTTTGTTGTAGATGATATGTGTAATGTGTCTGCCTTGTCCACCATTTTGCTGGAAATTCTGTTTTCACTTTGGAGAAAAATAGTGTAGCATATATATATTTTTTTGCGTGTATGTGAATTTTTAAAGGTTTCCTAAAACATTGTTCACCTTTTTAGCTTTATAATGGCAGTAAATGCTCACTGACTAAATTGACATGGTACAAAGAATGTAGAAAAAAGTGGTTTGATTATAAATGAAATAAGATCTTAGGCATTGTGCTATGGATGAACAACTGTTTTCAGGAAGATCCCTTTCTACTGATGGTAAATCTATAGAATAGTGTTTAAACAGCATGACGAAAGAAGAATCACAATTATAGAACTGGTAGGGTTATTACATAAAATCTCTCTGACTAAAATGAATATCCTGTTTCAGACTATAATAGTCTATGAAGGAATATTGTAAACCTTTAGGATTTTAAATAGAGGACAGATAACTGTGTGTAGACTGTTGAGAGAGGCAGATTGTCACATTACATGGCCTCTTAATTTTTTCCTAGCTTTATTCTTTTATGCTAGGTTATGAAAGTTACTTTAATTGCTGAGAGGTATAAGCTACATTTGAGATTAGTTCTAAACTTTCTCAGCCTGAAAAAATACTGCATTGTTTTATGTTAAAAACAAAATCAAAAGCCATTGCTATGAAGTCAGTTCAAACTACTATCAATATAGGACAAACTAGAACTTCCCTATACAGTTTCCAAGGCTGTAATCTTTACAGTAGCATGCTGTCACATCTTTCTCCCTTGGAGGAACTAATGCTTTCAAACTGCCAACCTTTCAGTTAGCACCTAAGACCTTAACTGTGCCACCAACGTTCCTTGAATTTCAACATATAATGCATATGTGCTCTTTATTTTTATTGTTTAGCAGGCACTTAGTAAAACTCTCACTGGCTGCTAATTTTGCATACCACTCACTGGTTTATAATATACATAGATGCTTCAGGTTAATGCACTGGACTGCAAAGGCAGGACAAGCTTACCAGTTACTCCTCAGAAAAACCTTATTTATACAGGATCACTATGAGCCAGAACTGACTCGACTGCACTTTACAACAACCCATTAAAATATTAAATAAGTCAAGAGTAAATTCTTTTGACAGTGGGGGATTTAGCAGAAGAAATACTTTCAATACTCTTCTGAAGTGCTTTAACAAGCAATCTAGCTTTACCAATTTAACCAGCATGTATGTAGTTCATAAGGATTTTTTCTTGACTACTACAATATGTAAATTATATTCAAATAATGGAAATCTATCCTTTTTATTATTATTGAAAACAGATTATACCAATTAAATACACCAGGTATATAAATTCTTATGAATATGCTAAACATTGTGTTTACTTCATAGTCTACCATCTGGTGTTGGGTTCTTTTCAGAGCATTAAAACTGAGAGTTAACATCTGTAGATCTCTTTTTCATAGTCCTAGCTGCCTTTCACATTCTAGCTGTTGAAAGTTAGATGGACAGAGGCTATTGTTATTACCCTCAGTTTTATCCAACACAGTTCCAATTTTCAACAGCTTAGCTGTACAGTTTTTTCTCAGTTCTGTCTGCTGAGTTCCTTCTCACCCCACTGTTATAAATAATCCTCAGCAAGGACATCAAAGTGCCTGTTTTTATAGCTTTCTGTTCCATTGGGAAAGCTCTACTCACAATCCCATGTGTAAGGAAGCAATGCTAGGCTTCTTTTTGTAATGATTTGAGGCCTCTAATTTCAAAATGTTGGCTGGCCGGCACCCCTAGAATTAAGGGATACAAAGGGCAACCAATTTCCTGTGATAATGTTTGTTGTTCTTAAGTACCATCAAGTCGGTTCCAACTTATAGTGACCCTGTATAGGGTTTCCGAGGAGTGGCTGGTGAGCTTGAACCACTGACCTTGCAGTTCAAACCAAGCTTGCAGTCCAGCACATTAACCCGCAGCACCATACCAGAATTCCATGATAATGCTTTGCTAACTTCAAAGTAATTTACTCCAAGATTTGGGTGTGAAAATATTGCGAGAAAGAGAAACATTTAGCAGATAACTATGGCAGAAGGTTAATGTACCAAAACCCATTGCTGTGATGTATATGCTAATGTACCAAAACCCAAAGCCATTTGAACTGCAAGGTCAGTGGTTCAAGCTCATCAACTGCTCCTTGGAAACCCTATACAGGGTCACTATGGGTCAGAACCGACTCGATGGCACTTAACAATAACAACAACATGGCAGAAGGAGGTGTCCTAGTGTGCGCTGTAGGAGAAGCACTGGACTACATGGTCATCTTGAACTGCAAGATCAGTGATTCAAATTTACCAGCCACTCCTTAGAAACCCTATACAGGGTTGCTATGAGACAGAGCTGACTGGACAGCACCAGCAACAACAGGTGACTGAAGGATAATATGTAAGTGCCGTGAGTAGTGTGAAGGAGGCACTTAAGCAGCAACATAGTTTGATGGTGGTAGTGGTGGTGTACTGTCCAGTTGGTTCCAATTCATAACACTCCTATATAGGGTTTCCTAGACTGTAAATCATAATGGGAGCAGAGAGCCTTATCTTTCTCCCACAGAGAAACTTTCCAATTAGCAGCCTAACACATAACCCACCACACCACTGGTGGGAATATACATAAAATGTGAATTATTATTCATTTTAATTTTATGAATTTCCCTTCATTTTTACTTTTTGATTCCCTTACTCCTAATAAGAAATCTTTTTATATTTATGTATTTTCAGATGTTGAGGACATGCTCACTTCCAGATCTGACAAAGCTGTTTAGAACATTGATGGATGTTCCCATTGTAGGGGATATACGACAAGACAATCTTGAAATAGATGAAATTGAAGATGAACACATTAAAGAAGGACCTTCTGATTCTGATGACATGTGAGCATAATGTTATTAATAAATACACTAGAATAATTTCTGAATCTATATATATAAGTTCTAAAGAGATGGTTTACCCTAAACCATTTTTTTAAATAATCTGTGGCTGAGTTTTTGCTGCTCCTTTAACATTTTATTTAAAATACAGTCATACAAATTGTGATAAGTATATTGCCTTTAAGTAACATAATAGCATAATTTTACTTGAGGAATCTAAGAAAATAGCTCCTATTCATCTTCTCTTATTCACATTGTCTTGTACTTGGTAAGTGCAGTAAATACTAAATGAATGGTTGTTAGCATAATATTGTTAATGCTGTAAGTTGCCATTGAATGTACTCCAACTCTTGGTAACCTTATGTTTAACAGAACAAAATGTTGCCCAATCTTGCAACATCTCCTTTAAGCTTTGATATGCTTAAATCCATTGTTGAGCCTAGAAATGAGTCCTGGTGTGGCACTGTAGAATAAACCCTGATGGTTTAATGGGTTATGCATTGGGCTGCTAACCACAAAGTCAAAGGTTTGAATCTACCAGTTGCTTCACAGGAGAAAGAGGAGGCTTTCTGCTCCCATAAGATTTACAGTTTCAAAAACCTTATATTAGTCGCTATGAATTGGAACTGACTCAGTGGCACACAGCCACATTTGAAGCTATTGCATCACTGCATCTCATTGAGAGTTTTCCTGGTTTTCACTGACCCTCTGCCTTACTAAACCAAGTGTCCTTTTCTATCAACTGACCTTTCCCAATACTACTGGTTTATTATATCCATGGTTTGAACTATTATTGAAATAATAAGAAGTCAAACTTAAATTATGCTGACAGTGGGAGATTCAGCAGAAGAAAAGAGTGTAAAAGTGTTAGCAAGTATCTAAGCAAGATGAAGTCTCGCCCTCCTCACTTCTAAGGAGCGATCCAGTTGTATTCTTTTGGCATGGTTGTTGTTGTTGTGGTTAAGTGCCATCGAGTTGATTCCAACCCATAGCAACCCTGTGTAGGGTTTCTGAGGAGCAGCTGGTGAGCTTGAACTGCCGACTTTGCAGTTCAAATGGGTTTGCAGTCTGGCTCATTAGCCCACAGCGCCACACTGTGGTAATGTTATCTTATATTGAGACCCCACATGATACAGGGATTGCAATGGGAAATTGTATAGAACTTAGTACCCCACAATTCCCCTAAGAAAATGTCCTGAAAACACACTGTTTACTGAAATGTGTGATTATAAAGTCCTGCAGTCAGAAATTAGGTACACCATTTGTTGCTTAATTCATTTATTTGTGTGTATTATATGTAACTTAATTTCCCCCAGTATTCCTTTATTTGTGATTCATGGGGAGTCCCAGAGGAAAATTCAAACACTCTGAGAGTTGTCGGGAGTGATGTTCCACTTAGATAATAATCTCCCTTCACGTTTTCAGATATTATCAGCTCTCTCAGCCCCTCAAACATATATTACAAACTTTGGGGGGAAATCAAACTAGCATATCCTGCAATAACTTGAGAAGGCAGAGTTCTTTTTTGAGAAGGTAAAATTCATTGTCAGGAGAATAAGTTGAAAAATACTAGAATATGTAGGATTTGTTTTGTGACTTTTAATTTATGTATCTGCTTTGGGCTCTTAATATATAAAACCAATATTTTCTTTTTAATTTTATGGTGGTAATGTAAAAAAAGATTTGCTAATTTAGCAATCATTAATTGATATTAATTATATTCACTGTCTTGTGCAACTATCACAACCATCCATTTCCAAATGTTTTTCATCACTCTAAATGGAAACTCCAGACTCTTTATGGCACCGTAGGATAAGCACTGGACTGTGAACCATAAGATTGGCAGTTCAAACCCACCAGCTGCTCCTTGGAATCCCTGTACAGGGTCGTTATTAGTTGGAACTGACTCGAGCACATAACAACAACAAACAGAAGCTCAATGCCCCTTAAACTGTAGCTCCTCTTTTCTTCCTCCCGTTGATTCCTGGCAATCACTGATAAATTTATATCTCTCTGTATTTGCCTATTCTAGACATTTCAAATAAGTGTTGTTGTTGTTGCTGTTGTTAGCTGCCATAGAGTACACCTTATGTACAACAGTATGAAACTGCCTAGTCCTGCACCATCCTCATAATTGTTAAGCTTGAGCCCATTGCTGCTGCCATTGTGCCAGTACATCTCATTGGGGGTCTTCCTCTTTTTTGCTGACATTCCATGTTACCTTGCATGATGTCCTTCTCCAGGGACTGGTCCCTTCAGTTAAGATGTCCAAAGTATAAGAGACCAAATCTGGTCACACTGACCTCTAAGGAGCATTCTGGACTATACTTCTTGCAGAACAGATTTTTTTTTGTTCTTCTAGTAGTCCATGATACTTTTAATAATCTTCTCCAACACCATAACTCAAATGCAACAAGCCTTCAGAAGTCTTCCTTATTCATTGGACAACTTTCATATGCATATGAGGCTATTGAAAACACCATGGCTTGGGTCAGGTGCACCTTAGTCCTTAAACTGACATCTTTGCTCTTTAACACTTTAAAGAGGTCTTGTGCAGCTGATTTGCCTAATGCAATATGTCATTTGATTTCTGTCTGCTGCTTCCTTGAGTGATGATAGTGAATCCAAGCAAAGTGAAGTCTTTAACAACTTCGATCTTTAGTCCATTTATCATGATGTTTTTTATTGTTCTAGTTGTAAAGATTTTGTTTTCTTTAAATTGATATGTAACCCATACTGAAGTTTTTGATCTTCATGAGTAAGTATTTTGCCACGTTCTTCATATAATCCAGTTTCTCAGATTATTTGCTCAATTTACAGATTGAATAAATATAGTGAAAGAATACCACACTGGCACATACCTTTCCTAGTTTTAAATCATTCAGTCCCCTTGTTCTGTTTGAACTGCCATTGGGTCTAAGTACAAGTTCATCATGAGCACAATTAAGTGTTCTAGAATACTTGTTCTCCACAATGCTATCCATATTTTGTCATGATCCATACAGTTGAAAGCCTCAGCATAGTAAATAATGCACAGGTAAACATCTTTCTGATATTCTTTACTTTCAGCCAAGATCCATCGGACATCAGCAACTATATCTCTGATATATATATATATCCTCGTCTGAATCTGACTTGAACTTCTGGCAGTTCCCTATCAGTGTATGCTTGAAGCTGTTTTGAATTATCTTTAGCAAAAAATTACTTGTATGTGATATAATGATACTGTCTGATGATTTCTACATTCCACTGGATCACCTCTCTTGGGAATAGACACCAATATGGATCTCTTCCAATCAGTTGGCCAGGTCTTCAAATTTCTTGGCGTAGATGCGGACATGCCTCCAGAGCTGTATCACTTTATTGAAAGATTTCAGTTTGTATTCCATAAACTCAAGGAACCTTGTTCTTTGCCAATGCCTGAGTGAGGCTTGGACTTCTTTCTTCAGTACTATTGGCTCTTGATCATATGCTACCTCTTGAATTGGTTCAACATTGATCGTTTCTTTTTGGAACAGTGACTCTGTATTCCTTCCATCTTCTTTTGATGTTTTCTGCATCATTCAATATTTTATGCATAGAATCCTTCAATATTTCAAGTCAAGACTTGAATTTTTTTCTTCAGTTGTTTCAGCTTAAAAAGTGTTAAGCATAAACATATTCTTCTCTTTTGTTTTCTAACTCCAGGGCTTTGCACATTTCATTTTAATACTTGACTTTGTTTCCTTAGGCTACCCTTTGAAATTTTCTATTAAGCTCTTTTACTTTCTTATTTCTTCCATTTGCTTTAGCATCTCTGCACTGGAGAGCAAGTTTCAGAGTCTCTTCTGACATCCATTTGAGTCTTCTCTTTCTTTCTTGTCTTCTTAATGACTTTTTGCTTTCTTCCTGCATGATGCTCTTGATGTCATCCCACAGCTCTTCTGGTCTTTAGACATTAGTGTCTGTTGCATCACATCTTTTATTGAGATGCTCTCTAAATTCAGGTGAAATAGGTTCAAGGGAAATTTTTGGTTCTCGTGGACTTCTTTAATTTTCTACAGTTGCAGTCTGAATTTGCATATGAGCAATTGATGATCTATTCCACAACCTACCATTGCCCTTATTTTGACTGATGATATGCAGTTTTTCCACCATCTCTTCTGACAGACTTAGTCAATTTGATTTTTGTTTATTCCATCTGGTGAAGTCCATGTGTATAGTCATCTTTTATGTTGTTTAAAAAAGGTATTTGCAATGAAGAAGTCATTGTTCTTGCAAAATTCTATCATGCGATCTCCAGTATTATTTCTGTCACCAAGGCCATATTTTCCAACATCTGATCCTTCCTCTTTGTTTCAGACCTTTGCCTTCCAATAATCAGTAATTGTCAGTACATCTCAATTTCTTGTTTGATCAATTTGAGGCTGAAGAAGTTGATAGAATTGTTCAGTTTCATCATCAGTGACTTTAGTGGTTGATTCATAAATTTGAATAATAGTGGTATTGACTAGTCTTCCTTGTAGGATATTGTCCTATCAGAGACAACCTTATATTTCAAGAGATATCTTGAAATATTTTTTTGATGATGATTGTAATGCCATTCCTCTTCAGTTTGTCATTCCCAGCATAGTAAACCATATGATTTTGAGATTTCAAAATGGCTAATACTAGTTTATTTTAGCTCACTAATGCCTAGAATATCAATCTTTATGTGCTCCATTTTATTTTTGACAATTTCCTGAGATTCATATTTCATACATTTCTTTTTTAAACTATTGATACATATTTATATATTTTTTCTCCTCATTTTGAGTTTTGGCACATCAGCAAAAGAAGATCCTGAAAGCTTTACTCCATTCATGTCATCATGGTCAACTCTACTTTGAGGAGGCAGCTCTTCTTCCTAGTCGTGTAGTACCTTCTAACCTAAGTGACTTATCTTCTAGCACTATATCTGACAACTTTGTGGTGCTATTCATCATGTTTCCATATCCAGTATTCTCATGCTATCTGACATTATTTCACTACTATCATGTGTCAGTGGCTAAACATTCAAAAGTAGTCTAACTCACCTTCTTTCTAGTCTGTATTAGTCTTATTCTGGTAGCTCCATGTGTGACCTTGCTGGTATTTAAAATATCAGTGGCATAGTTTCCAGCATCCCAGCAACACACAAGTCACCACTGTATGACAGACTGATAGACGAGTTGGGGTGGTGGTGGGATTGTGTGTCATTTAGTTGATTCTGACTCATAGCAACCCACTATAGCGTTTCCAAGGCTGTGATCTGTATGGGAGCAGAAAACTGAGTGAGTGGTAGGTATATAAGTGGGATCCTACAGTATTTGTCCTTTTGTTTCTAACTTATTTCACTTATTTTGTAGAAGTATCTAAGTACTTTTTATATTTAGGAATGGAATTGCTGGGTCATATGGCAACGGAGTCCTGGTGTGGCTCTGTAGGCTAAGTACTGGACCACGAGGTCAATTTGAACTGCAAGGTCAGTAGTTCAAACTTACCAGCCACTCCTTGGAAACAGTGTCCCTGTGAGTTGGAACTGACTCGATGGCACTTAACAACAACATGGCAGTTATGTGTTTAACATTTTAACGACTCACCAAATTTTTCAACAGCAACTGTACCATTTTACATTCTCTCCTGCAATAGATGAGGGTTCCAATTTCTCCATCTTTCTTATCGTAAACATCCTAGTGGGTATGAAGTGACAGTTTGCATTTTGATCTGATTGAAAGCATTTTATCATTCCTAGATTTTTTTTCTCCTATCAGTGAGCAGAAGGAGCTCTGGTAGCATAGTGGTTATGAATCGGGCTGCGAACCTTAAGGTCAGCGGTTCGAAACTACCAGCCACTCCGTGGGAGAAAGATGAGGCTTTCTACTCCCGTAAAGATTTACACCCTCAGAAACCCTGTACAGAGTCACTATGGGTCAGAACCGACTCGACGGCACTTAACAACAACAACAACATCAGTGAGCAGTGAGTAACCAAGAGATCTGGCACATTTTATTTTCTAGTTTTTATTTTATTTAAGCTTTGTTGTCAAGTGCCTTGGAGTTTGTTCCGCCTCATAGCAGGGGTTTGAAACCACCAACCTTGTGATTTAAACCATCCTTGCAGTCCACGGCATTACCTTGCAGTATATAAATATATTTGTATAAAAAAGTAAATATATTTCTGCACTGAAAGATTATCATCCTTTTCCAACCATGCAGCTTTTCTTGAAAAGTCTAAAATAATACTGTTTATGTTTGTTTGTTTGTTGGATTTGAGATTGAGATGAAACTTTTAGATAGATCTTACTCAGCACCTACGCCCTGTTTTTTTCTGCTGGATGAATTTCTCAAATAGGACATGTAGTCTCTTTCAGATTCACACATCTAAAACCTCAACTAACTCTTAGCTTTTATTCTGCAGACTTTGCCATTTGCTTGCCACTTCAGGAGAAATAAGCAAATTATAAAAGAAAAAAAGCTGATAACTATATTTCTTTGTCTAATTATAAAATTGGTTAGAAGACCTAGATTTCAGGCCTGCATTTGCCATGAATTGACTTTGTGATCAAATTTAAATAATAGTATTGTTGTTGTTGTTATGTGCTGTGGCTTTGGTTCTAACTCACAGCGACCCTGTACACGGCTTCCAAGGCTGGAAATCTTTACGGGAGCAGAAAGCCTATGAAACTACTTTACAAAGTTCAGTATAAATGTGGAAGGTTTTCTTTGCATAAATAAGACCATTCCAACATCTGTAATTTCATAAATATAATTTATTTCCTGAATAATACCTTGAAAGAAGATTCTCTCTGGATCATTTAAAATAAGTTAAAATTATTATGGTTAGAATATCCTAATTATACAGGAAATTCTACTTATTAACTGTTTTAGACACATTTTCAGGAATAAGCAGCTGTCAAAGTTCTTGATGACCATTTTATTCACTATTGTTGTTGTTGTTAAGTGCCATCGAGTTGGTTCTGACCCATAGCAACCCTGTATAGGGTTTCCGAGGAGCAGCTGGTGAGCTTGAACTGTCGACCTTGCAGTTCAGATGGCTTTGCAGTCTGGCGCATTAACCCACAGCAGCACAACAGGACTCCTTATTCACTGTATTATCCCATTAATCTGAACATGTAATTCCCTATGTATTTTCAATTCTCAAAAAAGGTATAGAAAACTCTTTGTATACTACACAGCTATTATATATCCTTATCAGCGTTATGCTAAAATTTCAAGTTTACATCAGAGAAAAAAATTTGAATATTAAATATTTGTTTTAGAAAGCAAATGAAAAATTTTTTCAGCCTGGCTTCTTAAAATATTGAAAAATTATATTAAAATTTAAGCATTGCATAGTAGTATACTTCACTTCAATAAAGCTGGATCATTTAAAATAAGCCATCTTCGGTTTATGTATTCCAGAAGGTGTATCATGCATTGTGTTGTTGTTTTGTGCTGTCAAGTCAATTTCTACTCCTAGCAACCCTATATAGGGTTTCTGAGGAGCAGCTGGTGGGTTTGAACTGCCCACCTTGTGAGTCACAGTTCAGTGGTGATCCTATAGCAACACATACTTATCAATTATATTAATCCTCATTGCCTATTTTAAAAACTGTGTAGTTTGCTTTTTCTTTCTTTCAGATTTTAAAAAGTACATTATTAGTGTTCTTAAATAGCAAAGAGTACATATGCATATTTAATTAAAATAAAATCCTAGAATTAAGGTAAAACTTTAGTTGATATGATTTTTTACATTTCAGTGTGTTTGAAGAAACTGACACAGATTTACAAGAGCTTCAGGCTTCTATGGAGCAGTTGCTTAGGGAACAACCTGGTGAGGAATACAGTGAGGAGGAAGAATCCGTCTTAAAGACCAGTGATGTAGAGCAGACTGCAAATGGTACAGATCTGGCAGATGAGGAAGACAATCCCAGCAGTGAAAGTGCCCTAAATGAAGAATGGCACTCGGGTGCGTATGATTATAGGCCTCTTTACTTTTCAGCCTGTGAAAATTTTTCAAGTAGTTTCTTTTTCTGATATCTAATCTAAACCACTTCAACTTAAGATAAAAACTGAAACCTACTTCTGTGTCTCTACATTTTATTCAGAGACACTTTTTATACAAATGTGTATACATAGTTGTTCTAGTTCTATCCCATTAAATTATTTTTGAAGGATTTTTATGTTTTCAGTTAGTTGTCCTTCATTTCTTGTATTTTTTTTCCAGTAATATTACAAGTTAGTTTTTTAGCCCTTTATCTTAATGAAAAGTTACAGTGACTAATCAGCAAGGATAATGATGAAAGTCATTTTTTAAACTTTTACATTTTTTCCTTGGTTTAAAAGCTACTGTTTCTGCATAAGATGTACAGAAAATTTTTATATTTCAATAATAGTATTAGATTTATTTAGAAAGAAGGGCTAATATGAAAAGAAAAAAATATACTTGGTTTTGTCTTTGACTAGAGTGCTTCGAAGTATCTTGGATTTGTGCATGATACAAAACATACTGGGCATTTATAGTATCTTTGTAGGTGCTTCCCTAAAATTTTATGATATATATCCTATGTGGCCAGCCTTCTCCATGCTTTTCATGTAATAGCAATATTTTAATAATTGAATTTAGGATTGGCTCAGTCCAAACATTAGGATTGGCTTCAATGCCAAACATAGGGATATATTCCCCCCACACTCAATCAGATGAGATGCCCAGGAGTGCTTCTATTCTAATCTGACATACTATTTATGTCTGTAAAAGAAAAGACTCCCAAAGTAACATTCTTCTTTAGATTTTTACTTTGATTTCTTATATAAGTGAAAGATATTTATAGTAGCAAAATTGTTAATATTGAAAGTAGTCTATTAACTGACATTATTCACTTGTAAAAAAATTTTTTTTCCTAAAAATTTAGTTTTGGAAAAAACTGGAACAAAATGACTATTCTAAGCTCATTGTGAATTTTTTACCCACTGTGGTTAAATAAGAAAGTGAGTTGGGTTGTTTTCGGGGAGGGTTTTGCTTCATCTTTCTCCCCAAGAATGGCTGGTGGGCTTGAACCACCAATTTTGCAGTTAGCAGCCCAGTGCTTTGCCCACAGTGCCATTAAGACTCCTATTTTTCTTTTTCTTTTTAAAATTTTATTTTAAACTTTTTATTGTGAATTGAGTGATAGTTTATATGGGGGAACATCAGTTTTACACTCATCCTATTATATTTGTTCTATTGCAATGATACAATCCCCTGCATGCTTCATCATTCAACAGTATTTGTTTGTATTCCCTCTGGTTATTTCGGGTTTATTTGGGATGTGCACCAAAACACTGAAGAATATAAAATCATTCAAACAGCTAGAGGACACACCCTGCAAGCTCCCCCCCCCCCAAGCCACCAGCACATATCCCCTTTCCCTCCATGAGTCTAGAGTCCCCAGCCGCTCCATCTCTCCATGTCATCATCTCTGCCTCCATCTCTGGTATCACCACTTCCCTGGATAGGGTCCCACAATCTGCTCTCACTCTTCTCCCTTGATGGTCCCAGGATTCTCCACTCTGGGACTATAAGATCGACCACTCACTCTTTTATTACAAAACTTCTACCTTTACAGTTGTGACAATCGCAATTAATCATGATAACAATTACTATTGACTCATGAGGGTCTTGTCCCCATCTCCTTTCACCAGACATGTCTACAGGATGAAAACCTCTCAGTGCGAATTTTACCTTCCCCCACACATACTCTGAATCTAAACTCCCAATTGAAAACTTGTAAGCCAGTCACTTCATGCTTTTACAGCCACACACACACACACACACACACACACACACACACACACACACACATTTTAGGTATCCATTGTCTAAGTTGTCCATCCCTATCAACCCTGTGTACAGAGGGCATGGGAATGATCCTTGCTGTTAAGATTCTTTCCCTCTTGGTTGGTATTTTAAGCTACTACATCCCTAAGTATAGGTCAAGTTCATCAGATTGTAGCAAATTACACTTGTTTTCCTCTTTTCCTTCCTCTCATCAGGTTCTGAACATCCAGCCATTGAAGCTAGGTCCAATGGGCACTGTCGGCAAGTTTGGGCACCCTTGTGCATATCCCCTCATTTCATATCAGCTGTACGCTTCACTTTTAGCTGTGGCCATGTCCTTGTCTATGGGCTCAGGAGTCCCCAGGTCCCATTAAGATAAAATTAGTTTAGCAAGTCCTATTTTTTTAGTCATAAAATATCTTTATTTCATTTCTCTTTATGTTTTTAGATAACAGTGATGGTGAGATTACTAGTGAATGTGAATGTGACAGTGTCTTCAATCATTTAGAGGAGCTGAGACTTCACCTGGAACAGGAAATAGGCTTTGAAAAGTTCTTTGAGGTTTATGAGAAAGTAAAGGTAAATAAAATGTCAATTAAAGCATTTATTTTTTTCAGTGTGCTCTGTTTGAGTACTAGTGAAATGTTGATCTTTATTGGCCAGTAAAATTTATTATAAATAATAAGTGAAGTAATCAATTAGAAAAGTTAAGATTCAAATACTAATTTATATTTGGAAATTTTGTATAGGCTATTCATGAAGATGAAGATGAAAATATTGAAGCATGTTCAACAATAGTTCAGAATATTTTGGGAAATGAGCATCAGCATCTTTATGCCAAGATTCTTCATTTAGTCATGGCAGATGGAGCCTATCAAGAAGGTAAGATTTTCTCAGAAGCCTTATATTTTAAATAAATGTGAGAAAAAGAGGGTGACAAAATATGAATGGTGGTAAAATCCATATTAGAACTTTATGTAGTGCTTTTAAAACATAGAAAATTAACTTTCAATATAAACCTTTTATATACTGGGAAAATATTTACCAAAACAATCACCCAAAATATGTCAGGGGATTTTATTGAGTTACTAAAATTAAAATCGTTTTTACTGTTAAATTTAGTCAAGAGCACTAAACATGGAATCAAGAGACCAGTGTTATAGTCTGGCTCTGCAACAAACTAGTTATGTGAATTAGTGACTTGTTTTCTGTTAAGTTTCAGTTTCCATTGCTGTAATATAACAAACTATTCTGTCATCTAATACATTGTGATTGTTTTAGAAAGTGTTTGTTGAGAATACTTTTTTGTTGAGTATTTATTGAGAATCCTTATATGCTTAGCACTTTGTTACAATGGACATTAAAAGAATCTTTGCTTTTAATTTTGCATGTTTTCTGGTTCCCTGGGGAAATGTGACATATATATATATATATATATATATATATATATACATACATACATACATATATATATATGTATGTATGTATATATATACATACATACATACATATATATATGTATATATGTATGTATGTATATATATATACATATATATGTATATATGTATGTATATATATATACATACATACATACATATATATGTATATATGTATGTATGTATATATATATATATAGGGGAACATCAGTTTTACACTCATCCTATTATATTTGTTCTATTGCAATGATACAATCCCCTGCATGCTTCATCATTAAACAGTATTTGTTTATATTCCCTCTGGTTATTTTGGGTTTATTTGGGATGTGTATATATATATATATATAAAACAATGTATAAAACCATACAAAAGTACTATTTTAAAATAATTTAAATGTGGTAAACTAGAGAAGGGAGATTGAACCATGGAAAATGGAAAGAAATGGAAAAGGGATAACTATATAAGGGAACCATGAACCCATAATTAATGCCTATTAAAAAAAAAACAACAACCCACTGCCATCAAGAAAACAGCAACTGATAGTGACCCTGTGTAGAGTTCTCGAGACTATAAATGTTTATGGAAACAAAGATTCCACTTTCTCCTTTGGTGTGTCTGGTGGGTTTGAACTACCGACTGTGTGGTTAGCAGTTCAGTGCTTTTCCTACAGTTCTACTACAGATCCTTAAAGTGACCAAATTAGACTCTTATAATTAAGAATTAAGGAGGAGCCCCATAGGTGCTGTAGAATAAGAGCTGAACTGCTAACCACAAGTTGGGTAGTTCAAACCCACAAGCTGCTCCTAGAGAGAAAGATGAGCTTTCTGTTTCCAGAAAAAGTTACATTTAAATTGTGGGAGGAAGGAGGATTGGATATAGCGTAAAGTTGCTTAAAACCAAGTTTAATGAATAAAATCCATAGGATAAATAAATGTTTATCTTTTTGTTTTAATTTTTAAATATTTCACAGAAAAGTAGTAATTTTTTTAATGAAGTTGTAAACTGATTCTGAATATTTTGAGCAAAAATGTAGTTTTTGGAACATTTGTCAAATAAACTTATTAATTTAGTTATAAAATTGAAGATTTAAAATATGCTGGTGCTTAAATTCTCTTGAGATTTATTTATGTTCTACCATGTAAGTTAGAAACAAGTGTTTTGGAAAGTCAACATATTGGACAAATAAGAACAAGTAATATAATATGAAACCAAAGATGAATTAATAATAAAAAATTCATGCTCAAAGGGTCTCTACAGTTACTCAAAGTGTATTTCAAATTGGGCTTTGGTCATTGTGGCAAAACAGGAAACCTAATTAATTCCATGAGACAAACATTAGTTGCTTGGAAGGATTGCTATTTTTACTATTGAAATCAAAGGGCAAAATTTCTCATCATCTCTACAAAGAGGGCACTATCATACAGTATTCTCTAGACCTAAATAACATATGTTGTTATGTGCCGCCAAGCTGGTTTTGACCCATAGTAACTGTATAGGGCTTCTGATGAGGAGTTGCTGGTGAATTTGAACCACTGACCTTGCAGTTCAAATCAACTTTGCAGTCCGGTGCATTAACCCACAGCACCATACCAGGACTCCTAAATAACATATGGATTCCTTTAAAGGGAGACTCTTTTTCAGACCTTAACGGCCCAAATATTCATAAATTCCACTAAGAAACTAAGGTCTTGGTCTTTGAAAATATTTGTCAATTGTGAATTATTACTGAAAATCATGTTTATTTTTCTAAATACTATTTTTAATTATTATCAAAATAAACATGTAGAACTTAACCATTGTCTGGAGCTTATGGATTCCTGATATCAATGAGGTTTTAAGCTGTTTTATAAAGCAGTATGTAATGGAATGAAAAATATCCCCAATCATTTTTATAGTATTTGGATTTCATAGAGCTCTTTCTTATAATGCAGCACAGTGTAAATTGATGGCATGAAGCCAGAGAACGATTGCATTGAAGCAAATCTGTGGAGAATATCAAACCAGTTCTATTCATATTCAGGCTGTTAATCCTCAGGCAATCCTCCATAAGCATTGTTTCAGTTGAGCTTTTCATAAATATTAAGTAACAGTGTTTTTGAGATTCAGTTGTGCTTGTCAAGTATCTGAAGAACTTTTATAATATATTGCCCCTAAATGGAGAACTGTAACAGTCAGCTGAGCCACAAAGTAGAACTGATACCCTCTTTTGACAGCTGAGTGGCTTCAAAAGGATACATGCCTAAACAGAAGGCATTCCCTCTCCACAGAGCAATATAGGGTTAGGCAACTATATATCCCTTAGGAAACAATATCAAATGTCCTCTAGCTCTCAAGTGAAAAGGAAACGAGGGCCATAAAGTTCTGTATCATAGAACCTGACAGTTTCTTTGTTGTTGTTAGTGCTGTGGAATTGGTTCTAGCTCATAGAGATTTGTATAGGGTTTCCGAGGAGTAGCTGGTAAGTTTGAACCACCAACCTTGTGGTTAGTAGTTCAGTGCTTATCCAACTTTTAACCTAGAAATAATATAAAGAAAATAAACATTAAATTTACTTTTCACTCTGGCAATCTTTTACTTCGGACTCCTGGTGTGGCTCTGTAGGATAAGCACTGGACTGTGGATCACAAGGTCAGTGGTTCAAACCTATCGGCTGCTCTCTGGAGACCCTGTTTTTCTAATACATAATAATTTATTATTACACCTACTAAGTAAACTGGTTATAAAATGTATACTGACTTACCTGAGTAAGTTAACTTGCTTTTTTGTAATGGCCAATCATAGTATAGTTAGATGTTGGACAGTGGCTAAATTTAGAATAACTATTTTGAAGTCCTTCTTTTGGTAATAATTAGACACTAGAACTAATGTCTATAAAGTCCGCATCTAGGAAGTAATGATAAACCATGTCATTTGCATCTGATGTTGACATACTTTTTATTCTGTGTTGGCATGGTGAAAGTGGGAGGGGTATAATAAAGGAATGAGGTGGAATGGGTACAATTACACCTGGTTTACTTAAAGTGGCATAAAGTCATTAAGGTGCAAGTTTGAAAGAAGGTTGCCTAAAACAATTTTGTTTTACTCCCTTGGAAATTGTTTGGTTCACACAAAAATCTATTTAACTCTCCTCTGATATTAGTACAGTGCATTATCAGTGAAGAATTAATTACTTCAACTGCTAATAAAGTTAATGCAACCTAGTTCAGAGATAGGTACTATGTAGAGCCAGAAGGCAAGCTGAACTAATAAAATATAGAAATTGTTCCTTCTTATTTGTAAAAATTCCTCTGCAAGAATATAATGCTTATGACAGTGGTCAGTGGTAGAATGGCAGGTCCTCGTGTTGAACACTGATATTGCCAGCCCAAAATTACAGATTCTTAAGAAGGAAACACTGCTAACCTCAATGTCAGCAGTTCAAAACTATCAGTGGTTCCGCAGGAGACAGATGAGGCTTTCTGCTCCCGTAAAGGTTTACAGCCTTGGAAACCCTGTATAGGATCACAAACTCCACAGCACACAACCATCACCACCACCAAGAAGGAAACACATACTTTCCCTTTTACATTCATTTTAGATAGAGTAGTGTGCTGTGTTTGGGAGTCTTGGTGAGGCATTGTAAGATAAGCACTGGATGCTAGCCTAAGGTCAGCAGGTTCAGACCCATCAGTTGTTCCTCAGAAACCCTATACAGGGTCGCTATGAGTCATAACTGATTCGACAGCACTTAACAATTGTACTGTAGTTAGGTCAATAAGGTATATATAGCAATTCAGATGGTTGAACTAAATTTTCAACTTTCACCATAGGTAAGCTCTGCAAACATAATGAGCTGAATAAATGTTATATGGTAACAGCTGTATAGTCCTGGTGTGACGCTGTGGGCTAATGTGTCAGACTGCAAAGTCATTTGAACTGCAATGTCGGTGGTTCGAGCTCACCAGCTCCTCCTTGGAAACCCTATACAAGCTTGCTGTGGGTCGGAATCGACTTGATGGCACTTAACAACATATACTATGTAAAATGAAAATTTTATTTTATCTATATGTGTATGTTGTTGTTGTTAAGTGCCGTCACGTTGGTTCCGACTGAGAATGACCTTGTGTAGGGTTTCCAAGGAACGACTGGTGAGTTTGAACCACCAACATTGTGGTTCAAACTGACCTTGCAGTCCAGTGCTTTATCACACAGTGCCACACAGGAACTCCAGTGATATGTGTATTTGTTGTTGTTGTTAAGTGCCATCATGTCAGTTCCAACCAATAGCGACCCTGTATAGTGTTTCTAAGGAGATGCTGGTGAGCTTGAACTGCTATCCTTGTAGTTCAAATGGCTTTGCAGTCATGTTGTTGTTGTTAAGTGCCGTTGAGTCGGGTCCGACCCATAGCGACCCTGTACAGGGTTTCCGAGGGTGTAAATCTTTACGGGAGTAGAAAGCCTCATCTTTCTCCCGCGGAGCAGCTGGTAGTTTCGAACCGCTGACCTTAAGGTTCGCAGCCCGATTCGTAACCACTACGCTTAGACGTAGTAAAAATAAGAAATCATGGGAAGGGAGGATACTCATCAATGTCAGAACACTAAAAATATCCCTAGGGCAGAAAAAAAGGACAGCAATATTGGAAAAAGGTCTTTCTAGCTATAATATTTTTCCTTAAGAGAATTATCTTAAAACAATATAGTCAAAATGATTTTTTTTATTAATTCTAGGTGTTAAGTATATATGTGT